TCAACGAACATTTACTCTATGTGATAAATACATCGCAGAGTTCCTATGCAGACCAGGCAGAGGCCCCAAAACATAAGAACATTTCCTAAACATAATACAACTAAATGAAAGATAAAGGTACATGCATCAATATTATGCTTGTTTTTCTTATACCATAGAAAAAGATAAACTCACTTTCTATGTGTTATTTGGGTTATTCATTTTATTTTTATCCCAATTACTGAAAAGCTGTGTTTTAGAAAAAATGGCAATAAATATACAGGTTTTATGGAAAAACATTTTAATGAAGTATTACTATATTTCAATCCTGATTATTTGTTCATATTTGCAACATGTGTTTATGAACTCATTCACGTTCCATTTTGATGCATTAAGTTTTGTTTTTTTTTTTTTTACAAAACCCTTGATAGTCTTAAACTGGGCAACAAAAAAGTTGTTTTTTTTCATACGGTACTTCACAATTTCTATGTCTAACATGTTAAAAGTTCAGATTGAAGCTCAAATGAATAAACTAAACCAATTACAGAAACAAACTCAGCTTTATACTGAATGCTTTGTCACACACAGCACAACACTGCCTCCATCAATTACCACCAAAGGACTAAAAAAAGAGAATTAATAAAAGCTCTTTAAGAGAGACTGATCAGAAATCAGCTAAAAAACTCTGACTGGTGCATCTTTAGATGCAATGTTATGAATTTAATAAGGACAAAGCAAGATGGGCTGAACCACTCACATCCTTCTCTGGCCAGGTACAGGTTCCTGCTGCCCGTCTCCACTTTTTTCTTGTCGACTTTCAGCTTCTGCGCATCTTCTTTGCTCACTGCTGTAACAATCATCAGTTTTCTGCCATCTGCACGGACTCCACCATTCTGGAGAAAATGTTACAGCAACATCAACATACATCCAAAAACGTGGACCAATATTGACACTGAAAACCAATGGGGCAGAAGTTATCATCATTCATTGATTGTTCTTTTTGTTTTTACCTCCGTCTCATCTTGAGCTGCTGCTATGCAGCTGTCTGCAGCCTCTTTAGTCTTAAACTGGGCAAATGCAAGACCTGAAAAAACAAAAAAATAAAATAGGTAAGTGCAATCTAACGAAAACTACAGAGGAAGAAGGAAAAAAACTGACAGTTTTTCTGACCTTTGGAATGCTGTGTCTCTGGGTGGAGAACAACCTTTACATAGTTGACCTCTCCAAACCGTAGAAGAACTTCCTCCAGACCCTCCTCTTCCGTGTCAAATGACAAGTTCCTAAATGCCAGATTTATAAATGATAATACTATTAATGACTCTGTAGGCTTGCTTGGAAACATACAGGAAAAAGAGTAAAATATATTTAGGCTGGTAAGAGTTAAGCAGAGAGAAAAACAATCCCACCTGATAAAAACTGTTCGGCCCTCATTTACATCTGAAGGCAAATGTTTCTTTGGCTTTTGTTTTTGAGCTAGGGAATAATTAAAACAGTTGTAACATGTTAGAATGATTGTACTAAAGTCAAGAGAAACACAAAAATCATGTAAAAAAATATAATAAATACAATGATAAAACAAGAAAAATAAATTTAAACCTGGTGAAATTTCTTCTTCCTCTTCGTCATCACTCTCACTGTATTCCTCATCTGAATCAAAGCCATCATCATCGTCATCACTATTATCCTCCTCCTTTATTTCATCCTCCTCTTCATCATCATCCTCCTCTTCAGCACCATCATCATCATCATCATCATCATCATCAATGACATCTTCATCGCTTGACTGAAGATCATCCACCTGCTGTGCAGTTGCCTTCAATCCACCTCTACAAAAGCATTAGCAACGTTAGCAACACTGCAACACTTAAGAGCAGAACAACGGTATCAGAAATGTATAAACATAAGAATCACTTTTTCTTCACAGCTGTTTCTTGTTTCTTTTCTTTGTCCTCAGATTCACTTCCTGCTTTGGGTTCTGCATCTTCTGCAACTTTATTTCCTGACAATGAAAACCAATCACCGTTAAGAAAAGGCCTGATACGATACATTTTAACCTTGTAGGTCAGAAGATAAGGGAGTAAAATATAAGTATATCAATGTCAATATTCCCTGGTTTTCTAAATGTAAGAGTAGCATAAAATACCTAAATTATAACATTTTACATTTAAAAAAGAGCTTTGAAAAATGCAACTGTTTGAACATGTCACAACAGAAACCTTTTTGGAAAAAATATTTTGTTAAACTTAAGTGTGAAGCAAAAAAGCAGCGTGAATATCAGTTTTTATTTTACAAAATTAGTCTATGAACAGATATATTTATAAACTAAAACAACTAGTAATTGTGTTTTTTTTATTTTGTTTTTCTTCCATCACTTGTAAGATTTGATCGTTTTTAGGTGAAAAGGTGTTAACTTTGTAACATCAGAAAAATAATGAAAAAAAGGAATTCAGAGAAAAAATAAATAGAATTTGTGGAAAAAGAAATAAATGTCATAGGTATCAATGTATTGTCTAGTCAAAATGACCACTTATTAACCTCTTTACAAATTTCCTCAACATGTTCAAACAAATATTTTAAAAAAATATAAAACAAATTGTTACTCAAGTAGAGGGTATTAAACAACATTTGTGTCAAATTACACCATTGAATCAATTTAAAAATATGTAATAGTTCAGGACAGTACAAGAGATGCAGTTCTTGACTAACATGCTGTTGCAAATAATTATGTCCTTTGCTATTCAAAGCACCAGGCCTTTTTGTCACAAAGTCAAGCCAGAGTTATTTAGGTGACCATTAAGTTCTGCTATGAATAATTACTGCACACGCATTTACCTTTTAAAGACTGCTGTGCTGCAATATAGTTTTCTTTTGGCACAGCCCAGTCAACTGCTACTTGGCGACCTGTGAAGATTCAAAAAGGATTACAACATGATATGAATTGAATACTGTAAAACCAGAAATGCTGTCATTTCCACTGACCTTTTATCTCTTTCAGATTCAAAGCTTGGAGTGCCTTTGCGGCACCAGATATATTTTTAAACTGGACAAATGCAAATCCACGCATCTTTCCATCTATTAGAAAACAAAACAAAAAAAGGAAATGTATTTATGCAGTGCAAGGCAAAGCTTATGTATGCATTAAGTGCAAAATAAGTACCTGGTTTGAGGGGTATACTGGCCTCCACAACAGTGCCAAACTTTTCAAATGTTTCTTTAAGTTCCTGTTCTGTGCACTGCAACATAAAAAATTTATTAGGAGAATTTAAGTTTACAATTATTTTTCATAGTCAATGCAACAATGTGTGTTATAAGACCATATACTATATATAGTCAGCTAAATACAGTATAAACTTTTTTTATTTATGAGAAAATGCAAACAAAGAGAATAAAACTAGTCAACATGTCAAAATATATAGAATCAAACTAAGCTGATGAAATGGAAAGCTTTTGTTTGTAAAGAAATAAGTTGGAGGTTTGAAATGAATTATGCAGACACATCAACAGGTTTTTAGAGGGCAAACATATTTTAGAGCCAGGAAACCTAAAACACTTGATAATGTGTAACACATGTTTCTTTAAATATAAGAAAAAATTCTAGCAGCAATATGTTGATGGATGCTCACCGTCTACACAAAAAAGACTGAGCAAAACAGCCGAAATTTGTTAAGTGGATAAAACAGTTTTCCTCTCATACTTTCAAAAATGCTCTTTGTAAATTTTTACCAAACAACACACTATACCTTAAAGCTGAGATTCCTTACGACAAGTCTGCCTTGTTTAGATATTCTTTTCTTTACGTCTTTAGTCCCCTGCTCATGTCGAGGTGTTTCTGAAGCTTCCTCTTTTTCTGCAAAATAAAAACATTTATTATTATTAAATGGACTGAAAACAATGTTTGTTGGGGCTTTCATTTTTATGTAAGTTTACACACATATTTATGGGGTGTCATTGGTAAAGTAAATAGATAAAAATGCTGCTGGTTTCTTTGGTCTGTTAGAGAAAAAAAAACTTTAGTTTGTGAAATTAATATTTTGTTTGGAACTATGACATTTATAGAAGTATAACACGGTGAACAAAATGACCTAGAAAAATGATCAGCTATCAAAAGCTAAATAAGCATAAATTTTACTGTGTAACTTTATAAATGACACTTAATAAATACCTGTTTTCTTTTTATTAATCAATTTCTTTTTAGCAATTGAGAGAGACAACTTTTTCCCGTCGTATTCTTTTATTTCCTTCAAGGCTCGCTTTGCGTCTTCTTCCATAGAGTAAGTGACGAAGCCAAAGCCCCGACATTTCTCTGCTCCTGAATTATGGGAAATAAAAGTAAACAGCCATTAACAGGGTATTCTTACATATTTACAATTGTGGGTCAGGTCATTTGCTCGTCATTCAAGATCGTGTCACACAATCGCGCATTTAGTGGTATAAATCTGTATGCACCTTTTTCTCTAACGACGAAGCATTGTTTCACTGGACCAATTTCAGAGAATATTTCCTCAAGCCGCTCGTTTGTTGCTGATTCTGGCAACGATGCCACGAACAACGTGAGTGCAGGCATGGCTCTTTGCTGGAAGCTAAATGCTAACACTTAGCTCTGAAAAAAGTCCACAAACCGAACTCTAATTTGCTCACCACTCAACACTGCACTTCACTGTCAAGCTACCAGTATTGACATAAATAATCCACACAAACAGATGCTATAAAAATGTTTGCTAAAGCGTCGCTATCTCCCACATTAAGTCGCATGTTTACATGTGGGAGCAGCCATCTTGGAAAATTCGGGGATTTATTCTTTTTCGCATAATTAGGGATGAGCTTTGCTGCCGCCTATCGGCCTGGAGGCATCCACGTTTAAACCTTTACTTCGAGCTTTTCTTCACCTTTCCAGATCTGAAAAAAAAAAAAAAAAAAGATCTGCTCTAGTCTTAAACGAGAAGCTGCTGGCTTAATAATGTTAACATAAAACAATAATAAAATAAAAAATAACATAAGCAAAATAATAAAAACAAAACAAAAAAAATTGTAAATTTTTTTATTTTTCGCTCACTCAGTTTAATTAGATAAACAAAAATCCTTGCTGGTCACAACATACATTTAAGTAATTTAATTGTATATGCATGGACACAATGATCGATCTCACCCGATCTTGACAATGTTTAAAATGACATTGTACTATATAAGTTTTAAACCACTTCTGGTCAAAACAATTTTTTTACTCCATTTGGGGGAAAATACTTTACAATCTTCCGTAAATAAAAAAGACATCTTGCTTAATTTAATCCAAAATAAAAAGACGGAAAGTCTGGTTCCAATTAAGCATAACATGGATAAGTGGGATAAGTCAAACTTTTGCACATTATCTTGGATTACATATAAATTGTCATGTTATCTGAGAAATTGTTTTATCAAAAATCTATTTCTTTTATTATTTTCTTCTTTTTTAAAAAGTAATATGATATTAATATATTACTTTTTTTTATTAATATCAGTAATATTCATAAAGTAATGTCTAGATGAACTCATTCAACTCTTTGCCACCAGGGGGAACCAAAACATAAGAGACATAGTGACAAAAAGGTTTTCTTTACAAATGCTCATGCTAAACACTATCAAATAGATAACCTAATTATAATATAGAATTTTATTTTAAACTAAAAAGAAAATGAATAAGAACACCGGGTGAACTTTCAATCAAATCTCCTTACTATTGATTAGTAATTTGCACAAATAGCACAGTGAAAGTTAACATTTACTTGCTGTGTCCTTTTCCACAAACAATCAGGCAATGAAACTCAAATTAAAGGCACTAAATTCAACAATGATCTTCAGTAATTAAACTGCATAACAATCTCCTAAAAAAATGAGGATTTCGAATCAGAACTACTTCAGATTTCCAATGCAGCTCCTGCCTATTCTGGAAAGCTCTGGTGTTTTTGTGAAAGCACAGTTTATGTTTAATAAGAGCCATATTAGCTTCAGCAGGACTACAGCTATTCTTGCCGAGTCCAACAGAATTGTAGGTACAAACGAAACCATAAAAGAAAGCATAGCCATTTTCTTTAAAATTCAGATGCTTCCCTTTTAAGTAATGGAAGACTTGCAATAGATTTCACATAATCTGTTGCAATTTTTCTTTCTACACTCTACAACAACTTACATATCCTCCGTCTTACGTTCTCACTCGTACACGTACATACACTTGATGCAGAGATGTGACATTATCAGCCTATGTCTAGTATTCATTTGTGTGGCGGCTGTTCTGGAATGGATTTTTGGTTGTCCTTGTTGCACCATTTCCAACCACATCACATTCATTTTCTGTTAATATGGTTGAAAACCATACAATCAATTTCTTCAGCAGTGATTTGTATGGTTTTCTCTTGTTGTGAAGGGGGTCGATGATTGTATTCTGACCAACTGCTGAGACCGCAATCTTGTAACAATATTCAAATCTTTTGAATTTACAAATAATTTTATGTCATAAGCAGTACAACAGGAACAAACCTTAGAGAGGATTTGTAATGGAGCTTTTGGTAAATTCTGCTTTGAATGAACACCAAAGTAAGTTCAAGTTAAAAAAAAAAGTTGTGTTCTTTACATACTAGCACCAAAAACATCCACTTACGTTTTAAAGGCGTTGCGGCTCAGTGAAATATAATTCTTATAGGAATATATGATGTCATAATTTTAAAATATATTGAGACACCCATACATTGCAAGAAACAACATGTTTAAACCACAAATAAGCAACTACTTGTGAAAAGCCAACTTGTGTTGTCTTTGTGTTGTCACAAGTTGTCTCAGTGGAAAGTAATGAGGAAATTAAGTCTTGAATGTACTTAAGGCTGTCACATTGAACATTTTTGGTTTACAGTTTCCAGAATGAATACAGGGAAGGTGTGGCAAAGTTAAATGTACAAAAGATGAAGAATAGCTGCAGATTCACCGTTTCTACTCAGCAAAAGCCAACTTCCCACTTGAGACGTCGAAAAAGTGAAATGCGCTTGAATCTTGTCTGTCAGCTTTAAAAGAAAAATAAACGAAATATTGAACTGAAAAAAGTTACAACGGTAGCTTTCTGGTCAACAAAGATTCTGACAATCTAATTTAAAGTGACACGGATAAATAAAAAAAAAACATGAGGTCTAACAGTTTACTGTAAAATCTGCCTTGCTGTGTTCTTCGCTGCTGTTTCACAGTATCACTTGTGGAAGCCACAACAGTTGTGTTCTGAATGGTGAACTCACAGTTTATTTTGCTGTCTTTTTTTTCTTAATCAGAACAACTGAACCCAATTTTTAAAGACATTTCAGCTGTGATTTAAATAAAAATTATTTAAAATTCTAAAGCTGCTAAAGTAACTAAGCACAGGTAGTACAACCGAGGTATTTTTAATTTAGCCAGTAACAGCCTCACATCTTGGCCTTCAGTGGGACGATGTCGAGTGACTGTAGGAAGGTGTTTAAAGTGTTCAGATATTCCTGTGGATGTTGCCGTAAATGACCGGCATGCGTTGAAACTTCCCACTTCTTTGTTGTTATGTCCATCCCATGATTCTGCCAATGACTCGCTAATTTCTCCACACTTGGTGCATCACTCAGCAGGTCATTTTCACAGGAGAAGATCAGCGCTGGGGCTTTGACTGGAGTGTTATAAAATGCATCGATGCTTGCATTGAAGTAGTCTACCGTCTGGCGTTTAAAAATGCGGAAGTATAACATGCTGGCTTGCCTTATTAGATTCTCCCAACGAGGATACAAAGTTTTGCCAAGACCTAGACATAGAGAATAGCACATTTCATTCATCTGGAACAGAGGAGGAAGATTTAAAATGGAATGTGTTGTGTTAAGTGTGTTAAATTAATTGGATACTGACTAACCTGTGGCCATGTGCTCCAGTGACCCCACCACCAAGCTGTCAAACACTTGGCCTTTGATTCTCTTTGCCACTGCCTGGTACTGCTGTTTGTCTTGGGAGATATGGACCAGCAGCTGAGCGAATGTGTAGCCGCCAATGGAGAAGGCATGAATGAGGAGGGGGCGGGACATCAAGCGTTCACTCTGGAGCAACTCCAGCAATGATTTTCCACGCTCCAGTCCCCAGCGAGGCCACAGGAAGTCTTTCACCTTGTTTAAAGAAAACAAAAAACTGAGTTTATAATGAAAATACCAGTTTATATATAAACTGAATGTTTTCAGGTTGAGAAAATTGTAAAACTACATCTCAAAACTATACCTCCAAATGTTAGAAAAAGTAAATAAGAAACAGTGTACATTAGTATTTATGGTATAATACTATCACTGCAAATTCCTATGTTTTCTTACAATATACAGTGCTTTACAAAAACATGAATACCATCTTGAAGTCTTTCACAGTACAACCAAAATTTTCAATACATTTTATATGGTGTCCATCCATCCATCCATGTCATGTGTCAAGCAATAATTAAATTACTTGAGGTTCACCAGTTTTCTACATTGTTTAATTTAAATTTAACTTCTAATGTACAGCAGCATACAACATATCCAGGTCATTACTTAAACGATATTAATTCAAGAACCACACTGTAGTTGTTATTTTCTCAGTCTTTGACTGCGTTGAGGAGGAACTTTGACCCACTTTTCTTCTCTCTAATGAGGTCAAACTGCATCATTTCAGTAGGGCTTTGGTCTGGACTTTGAGCCTATGCAGCTCTTCATTTCTGTTATTATTCTACCATTGTTTGTGGAGCTTTTCTGCTCTGTTTGGGTACAGTGTCTCACCCAGTTTGGATCTAGCTTTAACTTTTTAAAGCTTAATTTTTTAACTTTTTTGAAGCTGTGTATCATACTGGCTTCAAACCAGTATGATCATACTGGCTACAAGCCAGTATGATACACATGTATGATACATACATTTCTAATAAGATATAAAACTCTTCTAAATGTTTTCCACTTGATGTAATCTCACTTTCTGCAGAATGGCAGACTTCAAAATGATCCATCAAATGTATATATTCCCTTATAAACACTTCCAAACTGATAGACATCAACATTACTTATTTAAGATGGATGCCTTTTTTTCTTGGCATTATGTCTTGATTTGAAAACTAAACTCCTGATTTTGCAGCAAAGATAAAATGCACTAAAGATCAAGTGTTTCTTGATCTAAACAAGTTACCTAGATTTATATATATATATATATATATATCATGAAAAGATTGCACTCCCTTTGGCGCAAAGTCACACCTGGCCTTATTTTGTTCTTGTTTTGCCTTACCTCACTTTCCACCACAAGCACATCAAAACCAGTCCGAAAATAGATTTCGCAGTATTTGGTCACAGCTTGGGGTCGTGATCCCAGCCACGGCAGCATCAGCAGGAGGGGTTTGTGGTCCTCAGGGAAAGGGCTCTGGACCCTTCGGTCTGGAGAGGTCAATTCATTGAGGTACAAGGTGACGTTCTTGCAGAGGCGGTGGACAGTGATGCCTCTGCTCAGACTTGTCCTGGCTATCATGACCCCAGCTCCAGCTCTAACGCGTCGGCGTCGAAAGACAGGACAGCAAGTCCGCCTGCAAGGAGAACAGGGAAAAGAAAGAAAGAAATGCGCATGTTCCGTGAAAATAGAACATAACATGCACGCTGACGTTCTCGTACAATTAACTTCAATTGGATTTAAACATTTAGTAAACAACCAAACAATCCACAAAGTTAGAAAATCATTACATGTTTGGTCTCCTGCTCGAAACTCGAATGTAAACCGCTCCGTTTATGTTGCCTGGGTAACTGACCTGTTAAATTTGGTCCAAAAGATCAATTATCGCTTTAATTATCGAGGACTTATTTTCCGGAGGGCATTCTTACAGATGGTGTAAAAGTAATTGAAACATTTGATTTAATGAGTCTGTCATTCAAGCCTCCTCTCTCTGCCACTGGGTGGCTTCTTATTCTGCTGTTGGTAACCAGCTCATAGGTGTATTTAGCGCCCCCTAGCAGGCTACCAGGGAAACTGAATCTGTGCAGGTTATTGACGTCATCAAATGAGTTATTTGTCTGAAACAGAGGTCTGCAACCCTTACAATATAAAGAAAAGGCATTTTTCTCACAGTCCACCTACAGAAACCTTGATTAGAACCGCAAATGTTACATGTTCTTTTATTAAAAAAAAAAAAAGAAAACGATAATTTAGATGGATATTACTATACTATCTGTTGTCATTTTTAAAGAACCACCTTATTAAAATGAAGAACATCAACCTTTTGCAAAAAGAGGAAGGACACGTTTCCCACCTAATGACAAACAAAAATATTTAAAATAACATTATTGTTGCAGAGGTTTTTGTAATCATTCCATTAAAAAACTCTATTTTGTATTATATCCAGTTCTAAATATATTAGTTGGTACTTTATAGTTTCAGGCTAAAGTTATTATGAGCCAAGGTCCAAAGAGCCATTTTAGGGCTCCAGAGTCACAAGTTGCAGAACTCTGGTCCAAAGACTTGAAAAAGGTTGTGGTTCTGAAAGCAATGTGATCATAAAGTGTCAAAAGAAAAAGTGAAAAGTTTCTGTTATTCAGTGCATACATGTTCTCGTTCCCATATGCGACCCAATTCCTGTTGACATTATTCTGTTCAGGAGGATTTGTCAGAACAGATCCAAGTTACTCTACATATCCACATAGTAAGTGTGAAGCGGCAATAATTTGCCCATGTCCCTTACTGAGCTCATATGTTTGGGCTGTCATTGTTCCTCCCCAGCCTTTTAGTTACGGCTGACTTGATGCTTTCCTGTGTCCTCATCAAACTCGGGGTTAATCTCACCCTGGGCTGCGGTGGAAGTTCCTCTCTGACTCAGTGTTTCATCTGATTTAGCTTCACTCCCTTCACTCCCTTCACTCCCAAGTCCTACCTATGTGAATGTAAATCATATTTTCATGTGCAAAAGTTATGAGCAAACAGGATATCTGTAAGAGTTCATGCTTCCAAAGCCTGGATACAAAACAAAAACATATTAAATAATTTCCTGTTTATTTTGGAATGATATTTTGATTTTTTTGCACATTTTTTTTCTTTAAATAATAAGAGTCTGTGTGCATTTGGCAGCATAGGATGAGATATGATTGTCAGTGTAGACTACAAGAAGACACATTTTTGAAATTCTTTTTTAGTCAGACAGATATAAACAGATGCAATAATTGTCTGAACTTCATAGTCACTGTTTCCAGATGCTTCCTAAGGTATGTGGATCATAGTCTATTTTAGAAGTATCTCTGGGATTAAATTAGGTCACGAGGTTTCTGAGAAAAAAATAGCTCACATGGACAAACGGGATGGCATTACATATACTATGATGGTACAATTAAAACTAAAACAGATTTTTTCCTCATCTTCACTGGGCAATTTGTTCAAGTATTAGATCTGTATTTGACACAACAATTGATTGCATTATTACTTTAATATATTTTGGTAAGAGCTCCCTTTTTCCCAAATAGTATTTAATTCTAAAATGTCTAACTGCTTTATGTCTATTTTTTACCAGAATGAAAATCAACTGGTGGTTGCCATGCTTTTTTCACACACAAACACATAAAATAAAATAAAAAAGTGGGATGTTGAGTTGATGTATTTCAGAGACCATAAGAACAGTGAAAAGTGAAATCTAAAAATATTTTTTAATATAGGTTTTCATGTCAAAAAGTTACCAAGTTTGATCCAATGAGCTAACCAAGGTTGAGTTTCTTTTTGTTTAGGTTTAATTTGTACAGGACTTATAGTCTAAAAAGTCACATGTCTGATATTGTTGAAAGGCTGACTAAGAAGAACTGACTTATCTGAAACAGCCATAGAAAAATATGTTTTTCTTACATTAACTTAGAAATTATTGTGTTAATTTATTGAACCTTGGAAACATATCAGATTACACTGTTTTCTACCTTTCCAGGAATGTCATTCTTGTTCGGAATATGTAATTTATATGAAGAATGTTCTTTGCTTTTCATAAATAACAGTTTATAGTGCATGACTTTTAAGAAGAAGGATGTAAAATCGAAAGTGTTCTGCTATGTTTGTACATGTGCTTCTCTTTGTCCTTTTGTTGTGGTATCATTTTATTCATAATATATTTTCATACCTAGTGTGAGGATTAAAGTTTAATCAGACTTTTTTATCTGGAATGTCAAATAATTATTAGCTCTTCTAAGCATTAAATGTCAGAGTGCTTCAGATGGAGTTGCTCTGAGTATCCAGCATCTAGAGGTGAGTGTATCTTCACTAGTGCATACTGAGCACCTGCAAAGCACAGGTGAAGTGATGTAAATCATTGAGTCATCACTGAAACAAGTCACATATGGCTTCTCAGGGTTGTCATTCTTACCTACCATTCTCACATGCTAACATGATTAAATTCTGCTAAAGAAGCACAAAGCAAAGGTGCAACAGTGTGATAAATAAAATTACAAATGAATGTGCGTTAAACTTAATTTAATGATCAGTAAAATATGGATGCATTCTTTCTTCATGTGATAGCTCAAACACAATCCCAAATGAAATGAAATGAAATGCACTCAGCATTAAGCAAACTAATTCAATTAGAAGCTAAAATCTGTTGTAATCAAAAAGACTCAATGATAAGACATATTTCATTAAATAATAAGTCCCATGAATAGATATTGTCAGCACATGCGCACAACAGCATCTTCATGAATTATGAATGCTTGCTTCTGAACCAAATGTATGGATGAATAAATAATTTATGTATGTTTAACAGCTCCTGTTAGTTATGCTCAATGTTTTGAATACGCATATCTTTTAAATAGAGAATACCTCAGAGTTTTCTCTATTACTACTGATAGCCTGAAGAGCATGCAAAGGATCTTATCTCATGCTTGTGGCTTTCGTCTTTCACGATCACTCTTTTCTCAGAAGGATTTCAGTGCCTGAATCCAAAAAAGGAGACAATGTTCATCTAGATGTTGCTGCAAACAGTCTCGCTGTCAGATCTGTCCAGCGGCAGCATGTGGGAGGGTTGGAGCTGGCCGGAGGAGGTGGGGTCTGTCCCATGAGTCGATTGGCTGATGAAGAGAAGAGAGGCACAGCATAGTGAGTATGAAAAGAGACAGTGCGGTGCAGACCGAGACTGCAGACATGAAGCAGCACAGAGGGATTTATATGCTTGAAAAGGCTGCAGCAGAACGGATCACTTATGAGGTAAGAAAACTGAAATCTGAATGATTTTGAGAAAATAGGACCGCTACATACAGTTTGTTTAAAGATTTTTTTACTTTGTAATCTTGCAGTGTCCAAAACCCACATGATGCAGTTTAATCTATCTTATTGCAAATACCTTGGAGATATACAATGTGTGAAGAGGCATCATTTGTCTTTCACTTCTATTCCAGGTTTGTCACAAATTGAATCACTGACATCCTGATGTTTACAGTCCAAACATGTGAACAGACAACAATCAGTGAAGCTTGGAGACCCTCAGCATGGGATCACTGTGGAAAATTTATTTTCTTTTCCTTCTTTCATTTTCTCTCTTACTTCACGCTACTGCTTTCACTGAAGAAAATACCAAAGAAACACGAGAGACTGACTACTACCAAGCGACACGGTTTCTTACACAACCCACAGAAAAACTTCGGCAATCAAGTTTGGCACAAGACAGTTTTATGTTTGGACCTGAAAATGTTGACTTCCTGAATCGCCCTTTGAATTGGCCCTTCTCGTCATCTGAGGACTTAGACAGACAAGGTGTAATTGGAGAATATAGTGACATTCAAGGTATTGAGGCATCTCCTTCTTATCCCAATGATGAAAGACTCACATCAAAGCCTTCAGACATGCTGAAGAAGGACACCACTCTAGTGGAGGATGTACAGACATCTGAATCTTTGTTAGGAAAGGCTCTACAAAATCCAACAAAGGAAACATTACATTTTCTGTCAAATGAGAGAAGCCAAGTGTCTGCAGAGCATCCTCCGCAAATCAGAGAGAATGAGCAAACATTGACAACATTGCAGAATGAAATTTCTGATATTCATTTTCCTTTACCTTTTTCTGACTCTCTTCCATCACCCATTCCTGATTGGAACTCAACTTCATCACCATTCATTGGACCAGACAATAACCCAGACTACCAAACTCCATCAGCAGCAAAAAACAACGAGGGACGGACTGAAGGCATTCCAACATTCATACAGAAAAATCAAACTGGGACAAATTCTATTGCAGATACTATTTCAACCAGAGTAACAATAAGCACCGAGGGAGCCATAGGTAAGAATCAAGTCTTCAGTTCACAGGAAAGCAGTTTATGAGCTCACTCATAGCACATACTTCACTAGTACAGCAGTAAATTTGACCACATAGCATCTCACAACAGAATCTGTGTCACTGCAGCATTTTTGATGCAGATGTTTTGCACTAAATGTAGCCAAACAAGCCGAGCAAAATGATCCAAAATGCCAACATGCAGTGACTGGCTCCTGCCAGGAAGACACAGGAAGATGCAATTTTATATTTTGTAGATTTGTTCTAAAGAAGTATGTTTTACATCTTTTGTGACCACTGGGATTTACTCTCTCTACAACTCTAATCTGTTACTTTTGGTTACCTTTCTTTCTTAGTCTTTTCATTGCATTTGAATTCCCTAATATTTAACTCTTCGAAAACACATTGATTGCATTCACAAAGTGTGCCGCGCTGATCACTGCCTCGGATGGTGATCAGATGCCTCATACCATTATTTACTGTATGCACTCACAGTCACTTGTCAGGGGAGTTTGTGTTTACATGATTGGGGGAAGTGCACTTTGACAAAACTGGAATACATGGTTCTTCCTCCATCTGCATGTTTTACTCCACTAATGTTTACCAAATTACAAATCAGCCGAACCAAATCTAGCTTAGTTATTGTTAGTTGGACCACAATATTGATATTGAATGAGATTAACACCCACTGTTTGCAATAGTGATTGCTGACTCTGTATTAACACAATAACTTCATCTTTAACAAAGTTCTCTAAATAGGACACATTTAATTTTCTAACCAGCTTTACGTTCTAGCCTTTTATTTCATGACCACATAGAGATTCATATCTCTTGTACACAGAATCAATCATTTATAGTTGATTGAGAATACAACTAGGTTCTCATAGCATCTTGACCCTGTTTAATAGCTACATCCCAAAAACAAAAACAGTAATCAGGTCAATACTGGTTAATAAACAAATCACTGTCAGTTATGTTCACATGAACACCAACGCATACAACTTGTTCTTGCTCCCATTTCTCTCTGTGTGACCCACTTAGAGCTTCCCAGTTGCAAGCCTGCTCTGTTTTATTATGGATTGACTTCACACATACACTCACTGCTCACTTCTGGTCTCATTTTAAAAGCCAAAGCCTTTGGAATTAAGAGATGATTGCCTGAGTTGCCTGTTTTATAATTTGTATTGACATAATCATGTTGCTGTTATTCAAATAGGTGATCAAAAAGAATTTAAAATAATAGAACATGGTTTGACAGAAAACCAATGGAAAAAGGATGTTGTAGGCACAAACAGTTATTATTATTATTATTATTATTATTATTATTATTATTATTATTATTATTATTATTATTATTATTATTATTATTATCATTATTATTATTTGTTAAAACCCCAGTTTTTGTTCACATAAACAGTTAACATTTCTATTGCTTTTTTGGCATTTACTTCACTTAAATAATTAAAAATGTTAAAAATTTCTTTCAATCAACCAAACACATTTCAGAAATATTGCAAAAATTGCAATATTTTCAACATATTGCATTCTGTACTCCTGACTCGAATATTATTTAATGTCTAATCTCATGAGCTGCTCCAAAAACGTAGTAAGTGCACAATATTTTCCTGTGTCACAATCTCTTCTCTTTACAGATGACACCCTAAATGTCCCAAAGGCCACTGGCACACTTTTGCTCGAGGGTGACATGGATATACCCACCACACCCTGTAAAACATCAGATCAGTCCTGGACTCCCAGCTCTCCAGAGGATTTTACACCAAGTGAGCCCTCGCTTCCCTCTCTGGCTCTCAGTCCTGCCCTTCTGGTTCCTCTGTATTCAGACTGGAATTCTGCCTTTGCAACATGGGGCTTTGCATGGGAAGCACATATCTATGGTCTGGGATCTGTCTTTACTTTGATTTGCCTAATCTCTGTGGTTTGCCTGTTAGGCTTGCCTCTACGGTGCCCCCCTGGAATTGGACTTTTTATAATGCTACACTTCTTCATTCTGGCATTTGCAGGCATCCAAGGCTTCAGTTTGCTGTATGACGCTTATAATTCTCAATACCGTCTTCCTCCTCTGGTCACTCAATTACTCTCAGAATTACCAATGCCCTGTTTAATATCAGCCTTCTCCTTGGCCTTTTTCCTTCTGTCCTTGCACTCACGCAGCTATCTTTCACTACCAATTGCTATTTCTACCTCATTTTCAGCCTTGCCAAAGCCTTGTCTTTTGCTGTGTATGTGCCTGTTGCAGTTTATGATCTCACTTGGGTGTGTTGGACTCCTCCAATTATTTCACAGTGTCCCCACTGTGGTCATTTTATTCCCTCAGGGTTTGTTTGTCTTAATAGCTATCTTTCTTTCATTCTCCTACCTCATCTTTTACTGCTTGAAACAACTAAACACAAAACACATTTACAGGCTGAGTGAAAATGGAGAGACTGGCGGATCACCAGAAATGATACGCCCTGTAATTTGCCCTTTTTCCAAAGTAGAAGACTGGGACAGAGCAGCAGGAGCTGGAATAGGAAGTTCACTGTGCTTGTTGGGCTGTGGTGGTTTTCAGCTTTATGGGATCTTGCATGCTCTTGGTTTGGGTGGAATTGATGGTTTTGGGTTCGAACCCTGGCCTTGGTGGGGCTACCAGATTGGCTACAGGTTCTGTGAGATTGGAGTGTGTCTAGGATTATGCATTATTGGCACACATCCTCTGTTTTGTAACAACAACCCCTCTTTGAAAACCATTAATAGCAGCAGACCAGGATCCTGGTCCCGTCTATCCTGCAACTCCCCTTTGCGAGAACACAGGAGACCCTCACAGGAAGAAGTGAGTTCTCCAGTTCTCTCCACTCTTGAGTCCTGGTCCCAGGTTAAACAGGAAAGCTTGATGGTCTGCAATATTGATGCCAAGAAGCAGTCAGAAGCGCTTCCTCTTTGCTCAGTGGTTGACTGTCCTGAAAAAGAAGTAGACTGTGCAAACAAGCAGAGCGCAAACAAGAGTACTCTGCCTTTACACACACCTCAAAAACCACCCAGCAAACCTAAAAATGCAGACGAGCTCCAGCTATCATCACTTGATAGCATAGGTACAGATAGTGACTCCACTGGGGATCTCCGACCCCCATCTCCCATAGACTTGTCCCGCAGCATTGACCAGGCTCTCTTTAGTGAGTCCTTATTTTCTCACAGCATTTTTAGTCCACAAAGACTATTCCATACTTCCTCTAGTTTTTCATTGAGCTCTCCTGCCCAGGACTCATTAAACCAGGGGCCCAAAAGTGCTGTAGATACTCTACACCGGGCCTCATCTTGTGGAGACGTGGATCAAGAGAATGCTATATCCAGTTCCAGAGCTTCTCAACCACATGGGTCTTTGATGTCTCACAGGAAAGCACTTGCGCCAACGGATCAGATAGACTGGAAAGGGAGCATTACTGGTTCAACCCAAGGTTTGTGCAACTATCCAAAACAAACAGGAAAGTTGCGTTCAAATTCATGGACAAACAGGGGGCAATGTATTGCCCAAAGCAACTTTCCAAGGGCAATACCCTCTCTGTCTTATCACAGGAAATACAGAACCCTGAGCTTAGCATCCCAAGACAGTCAAGGGTCCGGCCGGTTACCAGTGACTAAGCATTTAAGTGAAAGCAAGCAGCTTGAATGGGATATGGCAGTACAAGCAGAGTTTGTTAATGTATGCAAACAAATTGATGCCCTGAGTATGTGCAGTGACACTATTGAATTGTAAAAAGATTTGAAAATTTATGCAAGTTAAGAATTCAAAGTTTAAAATAATAAAGAGACTATCACCTATAATGTAGGTAGAATGTATGTTATTAATTTAATGCGGCCTAAAAATTATCTGTAAATATTGTGTATCTTGCAAAAATGTTTTTTTTACACTCTTATTCTTGTACAATTTAGAAATCAGTCCACGGCATCAAACGTTTGCAAGCAGAATATCTGCTCGATGTTTTTTGCTCAGAACATTAGTTTGGAGTAAACTTACAAAGGTTTCTTACAATAAAGACTTCAAGCTCAAGTTTTTGTTTATCATGTGAAATTCCTGTTAAATGGACGAAAATGGTGATCTATCTGCAGTACAGATCAACTAAGCTTTTTGCACTTTGGGTGGGATATTCTGATAACAACTTGGATGAATTATTGCAAATACTTAATTATTTTTGTTGTCTAATCCTGATCAAAGAGACTGTGAAAGACACAAAAAAATGCATTCAGTGACCATTGTCCAGCAAATGGTGTGAAGTTAAAGATCTTTGCCCCACATCTTCATTTGACATTTATTGCTGTTTAATTTAGAGATTAAAATTCAAATTTAAAAAAAAGATACAGCAATTACCCAATAACTTCAAAAGGTTTCCACTGAGGGAATGTTTTCTATGTTCATTATGCTCAATATAAATAGCAAAAATAAACACAGATTTTTTATATATATATAAAGTGTGAAACTACAAATTTTAAGCAGTGCAAGTGCTGTAGATCTAACTTTACTACAAGAAATTTGAATGTTTTCATAATTAACTCGCCAAACCATTGGTGAGAAAATAAGACAATTTCTTATTGTTAGCAAATTATATGTATATATGTTTTTATTTCAGCAAGGGAAACATTTGCATAGCAAGAATGTGTTGTTTAAATGTCAACCCTGAAACAACAGTGGGAAATGAAATAAAGGATGGAAAAAAATGATTTTCTTTGGAATCTTTGACTCTCTTCACCAAATGGAGTTAAAATAAGCTTTAGCTACAACGACTGTTATAGCCATTCAGTAGAGTTGGCATTTTTGTTTTTCTGCCACAACACAAATATCAAGCCAAATGTAGCATTCATAATTCCTTTTACTGTCACAGAATTTGCTTCTCTTTAAAGTTTATTGGGTGGAAAATGAAGAAGAACCACGAACTCCCAAAACATCTTAAAGATTGTATGTTTATGACATTAAAACATGCTAAATGTTCCATACATTTCAATGTTAACAAATTTTCAATGTATACAAATCTGACTTCTTTATCTTCATACTATTTCATGTGAAAGACCCAGTGACAACATATTAGTCAGAACTTGCGATAACTAACCATGCTGACTTTAAATGATTACCAACAGAAAATATGATGCAAAACCTCAAGAAACAGAAATTAGACAGTCGTGTTGTTGAATAAATTTGCATTTATTAGATCCTTATTTATATGAGTTGGAAATTTGTTTTTGACTACGTGTTCCATTGAATTTAAGTTACACACATTCATCAATAAAATTAAACCTTGTGAATCTGATCTACAGCTTTGCCATTGAGAAAAGTAAAATTTTTAAGTATTTCAATAAATACCGGAATTCATTTCATTTCGAACTAATTGAGACACTGTCATTCTGCTAACTATTGTATCAACAATTTAACACATAATGTTCATAGTGTACATTTTATTATGCCTCTCATAAACTCAGTATTTCCAATACAGGAGGTCACAAAGCAGATTTACAATAAAGATTTTAGGAAGTATTAAGGTAAACATGGGAAGAGGCATTGCAGTGGTACTTTCTTTCTTTCTTTGTTTAACATTGTGTTCATAGCCTGTATTATTATATATTCAATTGTCTGCATACAGATCAGACATGTTTATCACAAATTCTTGACTATCTGTGAGAAGTAAGAATTAAATATTTTCTTTTTGTATGCCAAAGTACTTATAAAAACTTTACAAATGTGTCACAATGTTGACTTCAAAAAATCTATATATATTTTTGCTCTGACAGTGCTAGTTATCACTTCAATGTTTTTCTTATTTTATGTAGATGAGAACAATAATGATGTTGTTAAACATCATTATTGGAACAGCTGAATAAACTCAGCTGGATGCAAATTGCACGAATTTCAGACATTTTCCTGGAATTGTTTATGATAGCAATGATAATAATTACCAAATTGAAAAAAGTTATATATATATATATATATATATATATATATATATATATATATATCTATAAAAAATAAAAAAAAAGTTAAAAAAAAAAATTATATATATATATATATATATAATTTTTTATTTTTATTTTTATTTTTTTTAATTCTGTATTGTTTCAATGATAATTGAAGTCAGTAGGTATTTTCTTTTTTAATGGTGGATGTAAACAGACAAAATACCAAGCATTGTCATGATAACAATAAACACTTGAAGAAGATAGATTTTGGTCAACAATGTAAGGTAGATACAAATCAAGAAAATCAGGAATGACATGAAAAGGAAACTACTAATTATTGAATCTTGAAAACACTTTCTTATGAAGGGATAAATTTGAACAATGTGAAATAAAATGCTTTGGTATTTTTCTACAAATATATACACAGATTTCTATCAGATTCAATTCAAATGAAAAGATCCTCTTGTATTTCAAATTTAAAATGTGCCTGTTGATTAAAATATGTCTTCTTTACAACTTTTTCAACCCTCTACCGTTGCAAAAACAGAAAAAAAAGAAGAGTTCATCAAATGATCAATGTGTCCTGTAGTTTGACTTTTTGTTGTCCACAATCTTGCTGTTTATCCTGATTTAACGCAAAGAGAGACATTTGCAAATATACTCTATCATCTTATTGTCAACTCTCTATTCACATGAGTCCATTGCATCGGCTCATTGCAGCTGGGGTCGGGACATTTGGTCCCGATCGCATGCTTCCTCGCCCTCCTGCCTCACTGAAGCCACTTCTTGTAACTACAATTGAAAATAAACAAACAAACAAAAAAAAAAACATGATCATAAATTTTATTAGTAAAATAGCTACATTCAGCTCAGACGAGTCAAGCAATGATGAGGATGTTGGTATGCAAGTACTTACATGGCAAAAAAGAATATCTAATATGACACCAAGAAGGCAAAAAGAAGAAGAAAAAAGATTGTTGTGATGTTGCAACAGTTTAATTTCGTTCCAGCTCAGACAAAAGCAAATTAAGGAAGCAAAAAATGAATAGCTTGTAAAAGTCAATACTGAATCATAAGTCCCAAACAGATGAAGTGGCAATATAAACACACTCATGCAAATTCTAAAGCACAATAAAAGAGATATAAAGCCAAGGGAAATGCTTACGAGTGGAGCCCATGAACTCCCCCCTCCATCTGAGCAGACATGGTTCTCTTCTCAAACTTCAACTCTCCTGAATACATCATTGACCTGCAACCCAACACACACAGTGAAAACTTGCTAAAGATTTCACACCACCAAAAGCTCAAATAAATTAATTCATAAAGTGTTGACCTTAAAATCGACAAACTTCTGGCTCCAATGTCCTGGCAGCCATGTTGTATCCCAGCAATGAGGTAAGGAACAAACTTTTGGACAGAACCTTTATCTTGAACTGATCCTGAGACCCCTTGAGCTACTTTCACCTTATCTCCCTCACTTCAAGACATACAGACAAAATATTTTTTTGCACTATTTTACAATAACAGTCAATTACAACTTTATTAAGAAAAAAAAATTGTTATTCAAATATGGTTGTTTAAAGTAATTGTTAAGTGGTTTTGTCCTACAGGCTCCAGGGGGAGCCATCAGCCACCTACTATCCACAACAATGCTGTAAGCATTTATACCTAAAGTAACGCTTTTGACTGTTATTCTTCTCCATTGCATCCAAGGAGCCCATTCCTCTGTATTTCTTCAGACGCACACCATCTGAAAAGAAATATTCTCCAGGAGCCTCAGTGGTTGCAGCGAGCAAAGACCCCATCATCACTGATGAAAAAATACAATTTTGGAGTGAAGCATTTGCAACGTTTGGCAAGAACATTTTGCTCAACAATGTCCACAGTTAAACACTTATTTTGCAAGATGGGGACAGTTATTATATCCCCACAGAACCAAAGAAAGTGGTAAATATTTGGGACTCTTGCCCATTTCTACCTGTCGACGCTCCCAGAGCAAGAGCTTTCACCACATGCCCCACTGTCTGAATGCCTCCATCTGCGATTACTGGTACTCCGAAACGTCTGGCATATTCTGCAACTTTATAAACAGATGTTCCTTGAGGTCGTCCACATGCCATCACTGAGGAAGAAATGAACAACATAAGACTGAAACAAGTAGTTGACGTGTAAAAAATGATGTAGATCAAATAGCTGTTTAGGTCATTTTTGGGTCAGCTTCGTTTTTTTTACCCTCCTGGGTAATACAGATAGAACCACAGCCCATCCCAACCCTCAACGCATCTACGCCAGCATCTATGAGGTTTTTAGCCTGTGCAGCTGTCACCACTAGAGAGAGACAGAGGAACAGAGAACAGCTGAAAGATGAAGGAAACAAATGTGGTCAAAGTGATGTAATTCAGACAGCACAATCACCATTTCCTCCAATCACTTGTAGATCGGGATACTTCTGTTTAATGTAGTTTATCATGTTGATCTGATAAACTGAGTTTCCTTGAGACGAGTCCTGCAATCAGAAGATGGATCCATAGAGATAGAACATGCTATTTAATTTCACTAAATGCTTTTGTCTTTTTATAGTTTTAAAGACAATCTAGAAAACATGTAACATAAACAATAAAGCACTTTCATCCATCCTAACTTTATTAGAAATCAAGGGAATTTCATGTCCTGTTAAAGGTGAATTTAAAAAAAAGCTCAGCTGCAGCTTTGCTGCACCCAATGAACACAAAAAAGTACTTTTAATAAATGTATTTGTAACAAATACATGTATTTGTAACAAATACATTTATCAAAATGGAGCAAATTCGCATTTGCTTCTGGGAGAAAATACAAATAATATTCATGGCGACCACAGGAATAAATAGTAAAATGAGAGAACAATCTCCAGAGATGGGGACCTACATTTGGTGACCTTGTTCTAAACTGTGATACTTTTTGGTCATTCAAACTGAAGAGGCTTCATTGGTTTACAAAGGTGAAATATTCTGCTCAAAGTCCTATGATGCACTTGGTTACTGTGTGAAGGTTTAAGGAAAATTATAGAAAAAATTACAAAGTTGAAATAACTAATTAGTTATTTCTGAATTAGTTATTGACAAATTTGTCACAAAAAATGTTAATGATACTATTAAGATTTAGGAAGTAGTTATTGCTACATTTCATACTCTACTATTTTTGAGTTTACCTTAACAAATATAAAGTAAACCATCAAAATCTGAAACATGTAATACTCAAGACTCACCAGAACCACCACATCCACTCCAGCCTGCATGAGGAGGTCCAGTCGGTATTTGTCGTCCTCCCTGGTACCAATGGCAGCCCCACACAGCAGCTGTTTGCGTGAGTCCTTGGAAGCCAGAGGATAATCTCTGTTTTTCTTCAGGTCAGTTCTTGCTATGATGGAAACAAGCTCGTCGCTGTCATTCACAATGGGGAGCTTTCCTGAAAGAATCAAATTTTAAAATCAGTAAAACCAGGAGATGGCTTTCATAATCCGACTCATTTTCCTCTCAGCAGCAGAACCTTTTGAAATCGTTACCTTTCTTGCTTCGCTGCAGTATGTCGTTAGCTTCTTTTAGCGTGACTCCAGCTGGCGCAACAACTAGGTCTTCCCTTTTTGTCATGGCCTGTATTAGAAAATATTGCAACTGTATAGACTGATTGATGTTAATACACTTTTTCAAATGACAGAATAATGGGTGTAGCATGATATGTTCATAAGACAAATTTGTTCCCAGTTCAAACAACTCGAGACCCACCTCTTCCAGAAGTTTCTCATAATCCTTCTCGGACAAAAAGTCAATATCCCTGGAGGTCACAATGCCAACCAGCTTACTGCCCATCTTGCCTGTTTCTGTCACTGGGATCCCAGAGAAACCATGGCGTGTCTTAGCTTCAAACACGTCACCCACTGTGTGATGTGGGCTCATTACCACTGGGTCTGTGATGAAACCTTGCTCAAATTTCTGGCAAAAAAACCCCAAAAAAACAACAAACATCTGTGTTTATTCACAGTGTAGCATTATTGCTGTCCATGCTGTGAACAAATAAGGTCATAGTTCCACTGACATGTTTTATTTTTAAGATGAAAGTTTTTGTCTATATTGACTTATTTTGTCAGTTTACCTTGACTCTTCGCACCTCATTGGCCTGGAATTCAGCAGTGCAGTTGTGATGGATTATTCCAATCCCTCCCATCAGCTAACATCACCCAGAGGGAAACAATGGAAACAAGGAAAAATAAGTACCCCATTAGATGAAAATGGAAAATTTATTTAGGTCAGCATACAGGTCAAGAGCATATTTTAATCAGAGCTGCTGTGACCAGATCTTGAAAGTCATCCTGGATGGATCGAACATGCACAGTGATGGCTTACAGCGGATGCAAACTTGAAATTTGTTTATCTCGTAAAACATTAGTTTTATATAAGAAAATAGATGTTTAAACAGAAGTGTATGTTTGCCAAAAAAGTGCATCAACACTAAGGTTTTGGCCAGGTCTTTCTTTAATTTGTATCACTGCATCAGTGTTTTTTCTTCATGAGTGCCACAGACACTCATGAGGAAATGCCTCTGACTGTGGCACTTCCTCATGAACCATAAAAGTAATCCAAACAAATGCTTGAAATTTATCTCTATGTGTGGCATGTTTTCATATAATGGAAGTTCTGCTTTAAATTTCTTTTTAGCTGATGTTAAATGAATTGAGATGCACAGTGCATGTGTTCAGAGTCTGTACTCACTGCCATGGTGATAGCCATGGACGACTCTGTGACTGTATCCATGGGTGATGAAATGAGTGGAGTCTTCAGAGTTATCTTTCTTGTCAGTGCAGACGTCAGGTCCTTTAAAATAAAATAAAAATGGTGAACCATAATTTCACTCTGTGATAGTTTTCAAAACTACAATGTAATACACGTAAGAGACTGTTTGGACACAGTGAACTGTTATTTACTGGGTTTAGCTCTTAAGTGCTAAAAGACGCAGGTGTGTATGTGTGTTTTGAACACCTGCTAACAGGCAACCACCCATGTGAGCAGGCATAAAATTAATTTAATGTCCCAGCAGACCTTGAAAACAGAGAAAGGGAAATAAATAACCCTATGCTCATATGTTTTTTTATAACCTAATTTAAATTTAAAATGATTCTTGACCTCTCTGATGTGTTATTTGGTTCTAACTGCTTTACTTATTAAGGCACATTAACAAACTGCATAGGCCAACTGTATTCATAAGAGGACATAATTAAAAAGAGATGGATTCTATTGTTTTGTAATTATGTAGGGGACTCAATATATATTTGTAGCACACTTTTCAGATTTTTTTGTAAAATATATTTATGAAAATTATGTAATACTTTGTGTGAGTCTGTCATATAAAATAACCTCAAATAAATTGGTGCTTATGATTGTAATGTGAGCCAGTATAGGAGCTTCATGGGTATCAATACTTTTGCAAAAGTTGGGGCACAAACAGTAAGAGTATTGCCTATAAAAACCCATATATTTAAAATTACTCACCACCTCATCAGACGTGAAATCTATGAAACCAGGGAGGATAAGGAAATCACTGAAAATGGAAAGAAAGTAGATAATAGTAATAATAATAATAACACTAATAACAATATATTTAGAAGAAGTAATTACTGCGTCAAATGGCTGCAAATTGTTAAATTATTAAAATTTGATAAAAGTTAGCTTAGATTTAAATTTCCCTTCTTTTACCATTAAGCACCCATTGTAGTTACAAAATGCAACATAAGCTACCTTCACATTACTCCAGGTTATAAATTTGTGTAAAATAATTGAACGAGTAACTGCTTGCACCACTTACTACACATGAAAAGCAACTCATGCAACTATATTGTAATAAAATTGGCAATGAAGTGAAGCACTATTTTAATATCTCTCCTTCCGATTCCCTATTTTTCTGTCTCACACACACACACACACACACACACACACACACACACACACACACACACACACACACACCCACACACACACCCACACACACACACACACCCACACACACACACACCCACACACGCACACACACACACACACACACACACACACCTCCACAAGGAAGCTACCCTGATAGCTATTTCCACACTAAATTCATACCAACACCATGACACACACACACAAGCATACTGCTTTTAAACTCAGAATCCTTTAAAGTACTATTACTCATTTTAATCCTCCATTTAAAGCCTAAGCAGATGTGTCATCACTGTAACTTTTAGCTACCATGAAACTCATTGCATAAGTCTGTGCTCGCTGCAGGTGGAAGTGCTGCAGAAAGCATTTTTGCAGTGGTCTCAGTAGGTTAGCAGTGTGTGTGCTTCAGTAAAGTCTTACTTGTATGTCAGCCCATCTCCAATAGCAAACAGCTGTTGTGCTGTGAGTCCATCTTCTGGAACATAACCTGTTCCTCCACTGATCAAGTAGTCCGCCATGCTGAAACATGAACACATCAACTGAACTTGCCACCTCTGACATCTTAACAAGCAACAGCCAGAGCAATGCTTAAATCAAACATTTCTTTGAAAAAGAATGATTCAGATTCATAAGTAATTTGACAGATTACGATCGGTCTGACAGCAATAACAATTAAAACCTTTACTAAATCTTTATCTAAAAATGATGTTTATTTCTGTCTTGACCTCTGCATAACTCTTGTTGTACCTAGATCAGGAGTGCAGACCGGAACGTATCCCCATCAATGGAAACTCCTTCTATATACTCATGACGGCAGCACACAAGGTAAGAGGATTTGGTTGGCTGCCAAGGTTGCTGATAAATAGATTGGAATGGGAAGTGGTTGTTGCCAACAGAAAGTGAGAATATTTGAATTACTTTTCCCTTTTCATGGTACTATGCTTCAGTTAACAGTTTCCTACTGTTAACTGAAAGTAATGATGCCTCAATGTGGACACTGACCTTTCTGGCTCATATCCAGCCTGGATTCGTGTGGCGCTGTACCTCTGGGCTGCAGTCTCATGTCCATGTCCATATGACGGCGGGTAGGCATGAGTCAAAAAGGAGTGTTGAGACTGCTCCCCATCTCTGTTTGAGACGCGAGGCCGTGCTGGTTCCATGTCTCCTACAATTCTTCTGTAATCAATCTGGTAATTGTCCCTGTCACTTTCTCCAAAGCGGTCATATCCATGACCTTCCATCTCCAGGAAATCCAGCTCTGTGACCTCCACACGCACGCTCCTCTTCAGTTTTTTTGCATACAATTGGAATCACACTTTGCACTCCAGGTAAACATTGGCAGACCTCAAGAGACACTCCATGTGTTGTTCAGTTGATTGCATGCTCACACCAGGAAGCTTGTACTTGTTGCCAGTTAGTTTGCCCTCTGAGCAGCAGCTTAACCAAATTATAAAATTGTCAGTTTTGCACAGATATACCTGCAGCTTAAGTATGCAGCACCAGTAAAATACACCTTGAAAAATGTTGTCAGTTATCAGGAGTGTTCATATTCCAGTTGGAAAACACTTCATCCTGTAAGAAACCAAACCCTCTAGCAGGAAGAAGAGTCTTTTTCCTTATCAAGGGATGGTAGGTTCAGAATCGTCAGCACACTCCCAGGTTGAGAAGTTGAGTTGGTCCCAGCCGTGTTTGTTTTCCCTCAAGCCTGGGAGCTTCTCTCCACTCCGTCACCCTGGTGGCTGCTGAGCTTAACTCTGTTTCTGACTGTAGCAGACGTCACTCTCCCACAAAGAGGATTGGGAGCATTAAAGCAGGATGGGGTGGAGTGAGATAGGTGTGTAGGGTGGAGTAAGGAGGCAGCACTGATGAAGAAGGATGGGCCGAGATTACGCTGTAACACTTTCCCCTTGAAGGACCAGAATTCTGAAAATGTGTGAATGTCAAGTCCTACTTAGGTCTCACCTCCAAAATGAAGTAAAGAGAAAACTGGTGTCTGCATGTGTGCACACATTAAAAAACTAAAATGCCAATAAAACTGAACATAGCAATTATTTGAGTCTTAAAGATCTACCCAATATTTAAAAAAACACAAAAACAATCTGCAAACAACTGAACAATCGTTGCCATAGAAAAATTTGATATAGAAGATTCATTTTGCCCTAATTCCTCTTTTCTTTTATTTTTTAGCATGATTTTAGTCATTTGCATTCCAGTAAATTAAAATGCAACAAGTGTTTTTTTTTTCCTACCATCAGCTACAGTTGATTGACTAATTGTTTGTGACAGTTATAGTTAGGGATTGAACCAGAAAAGCTTCTTACAAACCTTCCATCTCCACGGCTCCACAGCTCTTTTTCCCACTGAGGTGGAAAAATAAAAAGTGGAATTTGACCCATTTTTCATTATCTTAATCCAGATGCTAACATTTGCAGCACGTAACAAAAATATTTATAGTCCTTGAGCTTCGTCATATTTTGTCAATCTTTACTGAGTTTTTAATTATTAATATTAGTTGTAATAGTAATAGTTTTGGGATGTATTTCACCTCACAAATACCTAACTATGAAGTGAAATTTATTTTAAAATTTAAAAAGAATGTGTGTCTTTTCATATATATTCAGTCTTTTTCGATGTGTCTCCACCAGTTTTGTAATTCAAGATAAGAAGGATGGATACATGTTGAAATTTGTATTTATACATTGAAAATGAAACAAAGAAAAATGATGAAAACCACACACACTTTAGATCATCTGATGCAAGAATGCCTCAAGTGTCACCTGAGGAGAGAAAAGGAGAAAATAAAAACCCGAACAGCACAAATAAAACCTTGCATGACTAATAAGAGGAAATCATACCATGACTTTTCAGAATATTTGGTTCATGCTTTTTCAGTGCATCATAGAAAGCAACTTTCACCAGGTCTGCTGCACGTAATGACTTGTAGAGCTCCCTCATTTTTGCCTCGTTCGTTTCTTTCGCCTCAATTTCGGAGTAGGTTTCTTTTTGGATCATCTCCCTTTTCTTAAGATCCTCAGCAATTGCCATGACATGTGTGTTGTTCTGTATCACAGCTTCCCTGATGTCATCAACAATCGCCACTGTGTGTAGTGTTTTGTTGCACACAGGAAAAAAAAAACATGATCACCACCTATTTATTTTTTTGTTTTTTGACACAGAAACTCACAAAAATGCTACAGACCTTTTTCTTCTTCTGTTAAATCTTCAGTTTCAACTACATTAGATGGCTGCTGAGAACAGAGAAAACATGAATGTTGAGAGACTTACAAATCAATATGAGGACCAAATATGGACAATTATTTCACTGTAGCTGAAATAAAATATGCTAATTAAACATACGAATGAAGTCTCTTGATTTAGAACAAAACAGCTTAAATTTGATATTCTTTTTTGTTTTAATATTTTCCCTTCATTTCAAGCTCACATTTAATACATCTAGACTCGAGAATACCTGAACTTTATCTGAGGGACGATCAACAACATCATTTCCTAAAAGAGACAGAAAGAAATGTATAAAATTAGTGGGTTGTTATACAGCCATGTGAAGCATTGATCAATCTACCTGGAGTGGGTGAAGGAACCAACTCTGCAGCATTTGCCTGAGAAAACTGGCTGCTACTTCCTGACTGCTGGAAAAGGGAAGTAAAGATTATGTAGCAGCTACAAAAGAACACATACTCGTTTTTTATTCTGGAATTACATTTTGTCTTAGTTTCAGTAAAACGTCATGAATGGCTGCATCAATTCCATCCTTGTGAAGTGAGAAAATCGGTTCAGATTTTTGGACGATTTCTAAAAGAAAAACAAGTTTGTGTTTTCAGATGATATGGGCTATCAAAAGAATCATGCAAATTATCAAACATTTATGTAACTAATAGATTAACATTAAGATTTTAGTCCTGTATGACAAAGAGTCAATGCACATTCTTCTTTCCATGACAAAACTGCTCATACCATTAAAGTCAGGCCTGTCAGATGGTTTTTGTTTCCAGCAATGTTCCATGAGTTCAATCACTGCTGTCTTCTTTTCTTTCTCCTCTACCAGGCAAAGACTGACATCAGGTCTGTCTCCACGATCAATGCTGTATTTCACAAGACTTACTGGCTTCCCTAAGTATTCAAAACAACAAAACTGCATTAACAAGGGTAAATGTGAATGTGTATAGACATGTATGTGGAAATGGGTGTAAACTATGTTTACAATTTGAAATTTGATGTAAAGCAAATAAGTTATTGTAATTTTAACTAAGAAGGTTTTTAATTATGGGAAAAGATTAAAAGATAATCACTGATACCTGGATAGGGTTCTTCCCCACTCAGGATAGACCAAAGAAGGATGCCGTAGCTGAGTGAAAAAGGGCAGATGTTCTAGATTACACTTAGATTTTATCTAAACATATCTGGAGAACCAAGAATAGAATATATGTTGTTTTGTTGTTTAACTTGTTTTAATGTTAAACATGTTTTTTTCTACTTGAGCTATTGACATAAAATTTGTGCCGTACAGCAGCTGTCAGAGTTCACACAACTTTTTAAATTGCTAGGGTTTTATAATATACACAAAAAAATCTAACTTTCTTAGCTTTGATAGGACATAAACCCCGAACCATTCACCAACAGAAATATTATATTAGCAAACAACAACAAAATATGATCACAGGTTAGGAAGGTCATATGGGACAGCTGCGCTTTAATTGACACTGATGTGACCTCAGTGGGAACTCAAGAACACTAAAATGGAATCCAAAGGAGTTTTAGCAAAATCTTAGTTTATAGGTTAGCAACAGTTACACAATCAAATTATAATAGTTTTTATGCCTGTCTGCTGCAAATAATTTTTTTTTTTACATGCAACAAAGAGTATATGTTACATTAAATGTAATTTTAATGGTAGGGGTACATTTATGAGTTCACCTGAATGTTGGTATCGACCAAAGTAATTTAAACATGTAAAACACCAAAATAAATTTTCATAACTTATGTTGTTTTGAATAAAATGGAGCAGCAGCAAAAATACACTGAACACATTAAAATGCAAGTGGCAGAAAGCCAAGAATATAGCAGCTGATATCTGTCATCATGAAGCTGTTAGAATGGCCTAATCAATTAGCTAATTTAAGCAAAACTGAAAACCTAACAATAGAAGAGAAGAGCAAAATAGACGAGTGTCCCAGATTTGAAGTTTCTGTGGAACACCTAGTCAGTGAATGTTTTTACTTTTCTCATACACATGCCTTGAATCCATGACAAAAACAAGATTTTTCTACAAAATAGCAAGTAAATATTAGGAAGTGTCTTCTATACCTATTACTGGTATTCCCTTTACTAAACACAATCTATGGGTTAATTTGTTTTGATTTCTTTTTGTGAATCAACCGGATTTCTACAATTTAATTTAACCTCATTAGATAGATTTCTACTGAGAAAAAAATTATTCTGTCTCGTATTTCTTTTCCTATTTATATGATTAAAGTATAATGCTTTTCTTACCTGTAAACATCAAAAGAGCGAATTATTTTATAGTTTTTAGCAAAAGCTTCAGGTGGTATGTATGCTATTGTGCCTCTAGTCCCCTCTTCTGATTGTTCAGAACTGGGGAAAACACTTGTAGTTTTCCTGGAGAGACCAAAGTCGGCCAGCTGAGAAATGCAAAGGGAGAAAAACAACTAAGCTTAATTTCATATTTATTGTGAACAAAGAACTTTGAAAGCTTTGTATTTTACCTTGGCATTAAAGTCGTTATCCAGCAGAATGTTGCTTGGTTTTAGGTCATGGTGAACAAAGTCCTTTGAATGGATGTATTGCATCCCTTTAGCCACTTGATAGGCCAATCTCACGGCCAGTGGCAGTGGTGGAGGGCTACTCAAGTCCTTCTGCAGGGTTTCAATACTTCCCTTTTCCATAAACTCCATGACTATTCCCTCTCGAAATTGTGGAAACTTATTTCCATTGTAAATCCCATAGACTGTCAGAACAAACTCAGAGGACAATTTTGTCAGACATTCAGCCTCCTTGTACAGTTCATCAATGGTTCTGAAAGGAGAAAGCTAAATCATCTAACAGTATATGTAAAATGTAAATGTTTCAGTTATATACAAAAATTTACAAAATACAATACATATAAAATAGAATTACAATCAAATGGATTTACCCTCTATTCCAAAGTCGCTTGATGGCAACAAACCCTCTGACTTTGTGCCTGACCTTATAGACAGTACCAAACCCTCCACAGCCAATCTCTTTCCATTCTGTCCTCTCATCTAGGTCCTTATCATGACATATTTTACTGCTAGGCAGTGCCATCTCCTGTTGCACAAGGGTAGCTTGAAATGTCAGAGTCTATAAAACATAGTGAAGAGATGTTTAAAAATGTATAAAACATTTTTTAAAAACAACTTTTGAAGGAATTGTTTGTTTTAGTGTCTCTATCTAAAGTGAAAGCACTGCATATATGCTGAGTGTTGAAAAATGAAAGGAATCATTTTCCTAAAAGCATTTTGTTCATTTGAAACAAAATAAGCTGAATGGATTTCTACTTACTGTTTTTCTGCTGCACTATATCCACATATGAGTCAACTGTGTGGAAATCTTAAAGAAAACAGACCGTACCCATTCTTGTTTCCTGTTTCATTTTTCATTTGTCGTTGAACCTTGAGCTGCGGGGTGGGAACTGCACTCAGAAAATGTAACTCCGCCTCCCTATGAGTCACTCTTCTGTTGAAAATGTGAGAAGATAATTCAACACTTGACATTAAAATTAGACAGAATCAAGCTTTAAAACTTGTTTACTTATTTTAATTTGCGTGAGTAATTGAACATGGACTATGAACTCCTTTGTTTGTACAATCATTGAGGGCAGAAACACAGAGACGGCGACTGTAATTCTACCCAAACAGTGAGAGGAAGTTTATTAATTTCCTGAGTCGTTGGGATGTTGAAAGGTTGCACTTTTTGTTTGTTTGTTTGTTTTATCAAGGATGCATGTGTGACATTTTATTGCACTAAGCTTACTTAATACTTTGACCAATGAGAATGATGAAAGTCTGTTCACAGCAGAGCACATGAATGATAAAAAACATGCATTAATTTTTCTTTTTTTCATGGGAGGAAGTTTGTTCGCTGCATTGAAGAAAATAAACTTTACCACATCTTAAGTCTAATGTGCAAGATCAGTATCCCCAATTCAAGCACAGGTGTACAGCTAATAATAGGAGAAAATGAAAATTCAGATCAGATACATTCTGATACAAGATGGATAATATATATATATATATATATATATATATATATATATATATATATATATATATATATATATATATATATATATATATATATATATTTTAAAAAAAATTCCCTTCTCACCCACCGCGGGTGGTTCTTATCCTCTGAGCTCGGGTCCTCTACCAGAGGCCTGGGAGCTTGAGGGTTCTGCGCAGTATCTTGGCTGTGCCAAGGACTGCACATTTCTGGACTGAGATGTCTGATGTTGTTCCTGGGATCTGTTGTAGCCACTGCTCCAGTTTGGGGGTTACTGCCCCGAGGGCCCCGATGACCACAGGCACCACTGTGGTCTTC